CCTTACACCCCTCAACAAAACGGTGTTGCCGAGCGGATGAATAGAACTTTACTTGAAAAGGTGAGGTGTATGTTGTCTAGCTCGGGTCTTTCAAAAAAGTTCTGGGGTGAGGCCGTTTTAACTGCTGCATATTTGATAAATAGGTCGCCCTCTGTGCCTTTAAATGGTAAGTGTCCTGAGTTTGTTTGGTCTGGAAAAGAAATTGATTTTTCAAACTTGCGTGTTTTCGGTTGTGCTGCATTTTGTCATACGAAACTTGATAAACTTGAACCTCGATCAATGAAATGTGTTTTCTTAGGATATCCTGAAGGTGTTATAGGTTATAGATTGTGGCTTAGAAGTTTACCCGGCTTTAAGGTCGTGATAAGTCATGATGTTGTGTTCAATGAATCTGAAATGCCATGTTTAAATGCTTCTTTGCCTGCTCCTTTACCTGATGATCTGAAAATGCTCCAAATGCGGTGGAGCAATTGAGTGGTTTAAGTGATTTCGAAAATTCTGAAAATTTGCATGCTGAAAATGAAACCGAACGTGCTGTGTTTGACAATTTACCTGCTGAAATTGCTGAAAATGAACCTGTTATTGCTGAAACTGAAAATCAGCATACTGAAAATGGTGAAAATGTCGATGTGCATGATGAATATGTGGAAAACGTGCCTGAAAATGATGTTGATTTGCATGATTATCAACTTGCTAGAGATAGGACTAGAAGGGAACGTAAGAAACCTTCTAAGTTCGATGATTTTCACATGACTTCATATGCTTTTGGTGTTTTCGAGTCAATTGATAATTGTGAGCCTAAGTCTTATGAGGAAGCCCTAAAATCTGTGAATTCTTTGCAATGGATGAATGCTATGCGTGAAGAAATTAATTCGTTGCATGTGAATCATACTTGGTCTCTTGTTCCTAAACCTGATAATTGTTCCTTAGTGGATTGCAAATGGTTGTATAAGGTTAAACAAGAGAATGATTCTGTTAGGTTTAAGGCTAGACTCGTAGCAAAAGGCTTTACTCAACGTGAGGGTATTGATTATACCGAGATTTTTTCTCCTGTTGTTAAATTCACCACTGTACGTATCATGCTTGCATTAGTTGCTCATTTTGATTGGGAATTGAAGCAAATGGATGTTAAAACTGCTTTCTTGCATGGTGAATTGGATGAAAAAATTTATATGAAACAACCTGTCGGTTTGTTGGATGCTAAGAAATCTGATTATGTGTGTTTGTTTAAGAAATCCTTGTATGGTTTGAAACAATCTCCTAGGCAATGGAACAAGAAATTTGATATGTTCATGCTTTCTTTAAAGTTTAAAAGGAGTTCATATGATCATTGCTTATGTGGATGATATGTTGCTGGTCGGTCCTTGCATTAAGTCAATTGAGCATGTTCAAAAATTTCTTAGTGATAATTTTGATATGAAAAACCTTGGAGATGCTAAAAGGATTCTTGGAATGAACATTATTCGTGATAGGAAAAACTCTGTGATTTTTCTTAATCAAATTTCTTATGTGGAGAAGATTTTGAGTAAATTTTCTATGTCGTCCGCAAAGTCCGTGAATGTCCCTCTTGCTGCCCATTTTGTGTTAAGTAAGGATCAGTCTCCCAAGACCGATTCTGAAATTGATTTGATGAAAAATGTGCCTTATTCAAATGCAATTGGTTCGGTGATGTACCTTATGGTTAGTACTAGGCCGGATATTGCTTATGCTGTTAGTTATTTAAGTAGGTACATGTCTAATCCGGGTATGCCTCATTGGGAAGCTCTTAAGTGGTTGTTACGTTACTTGAATGGTTCTATGCATGTTGGTCTAAAATTTTCTAAGTGTTCTGAGGGTGTTAAACTTGTTGGCTATGTTGATTCGAATTATGCAAATGATAGAGATAATAGGAAATCAACAACTTCTTATGTGTTCACTTTTTGTGGCTCTTGTATAAGTTGGAAATCACAACTACAACATATTGTTGCTTTGTCTACGACCGAATCAGAATATGTGGCTGTTACTGAGGCCTTGAAAGAGGCTGTTTGGTTAAAGGGCCTATTATGTGAAATTGGTTTGCTTGAAGAAGATGTTGTTGTGTTTTCCAATAGCCAATCGGGGATTCATTGTGTAAAAATCCTGTTTTTCATGATCGCACTAAGCACATAGACGTTAGGTTCCATTTCATACGTGACATTGTTTCAAAAGGCTTAGTTAATCTTGAAAAAATTGCATCCGAGTTTAACCCCGCTGATATGAGAACTAAATGTTTACCTGTTGAGAAATTTAGATCATGCATGAGAACTTTGAACTTTGATTCGTGTGATTGATGTGCTTGTAAGTGATGTGTGTGCTAGGGTAGTATACTTTGTGTTTGCTGCCTGTTTGATACGTGTGCGAGCTTCGTGAAAAGTGCAGGTGTCGTTAGGCGATGATGAAAGTCCTCCGGTCCCTCAAGGTGTCTGGTATTCGGTGGTGGGCCAAATCGGTGGAGAAATGTTAGGATATTTGGCCCAAAACCAAATCCTTATCTCAGGCCCAAGGATATCTCGGCCCAAATCCCGACTGGGCTTGGCCCTCTCTCACACTTAAAGGGTAGGATGCTTTTGGACCGTTGGATTTAGGGATTAAATTCCAGCCATCCTTTGTACACCATAAATACTCCTCTCTCACATTTGCCCTAACCTAACTCTCACTTTCCTCTCTCTTGAGCTGTTGCGCCCATCTCTCTGTGAGAAAACCGATCACTCTCTCTCTCTCTCTCTCACTAATCTGTTCTCTTCGTGACTTCCCTTGTGAGAGCCGCCGTGAGTGCTGTCGGAGTGCCGCCATAGTGCCGTCGCCACCGTCGTCGAGCTCTAATCGTCGGAGGCGAGTCTCTGTTTGAGACGTGAGCTTAGGTGACCGGGAGACCGGGTGCGTGGCTCGTGTGTGAGGTGCAGCCCGGGGAACGGGCCGAGGAACCGGGGCTGCCGGTCTTGGTTACCACCGAGCCGCGACTTACCGAGGGTGCCGGTAAGAAGGACGATCTGAGCCGGGAGAGACGACTTCGTGTCCCTCTTCTCCAGTCGCCGGACAAAGGGAGTCTTTCGTTCCTTTTTCTTTCATTTCCTTTCCTGAGCATTTTACTTTGTGTAATAGCTCGAGTATTGTTATTATTAACAACCATTAACTATGTGTTTGCGTTTAGGTGTAATCGGGAGTGAAACGGGCCCTTTAAGAGAACACGTGAACCAGCCCGGGCCCGAAAATGAGCGGTCCGTGTGGCCTGTGAACGAGCAGCATAGCCGGTAGCTCGAGAAGGGGCTGCAAGCGGTTAGAAGAGCTCAAGACAAGCTTCCGCTGCCAATGAGTCTATCGGTGGGATCGGGACGGCCACACAACACACAGTAATGCTAAGGATCCAACTATTGACTCCATTATGGAGCCAACAGCCAATGGAACAGTTCCATGTGGGGCTGTACCACATAGCTCCAATGTGGGACTGCCCCACATGGAACTCTCTCATTGGCTGTTAGCTCTGTAACGGAACCAACAGTTGTCTTCTTAGCATTACTGGAGATTTACAACGTAGATACTATTTAAAATAAAACAGGTAATTTTATTAATAAACTTAAGTACTATTCATCCAATTGATAGGTATTGAGACAAAGTCAGCATTTTTTAAATTTGAGGGTACCATTTATTTTGACCTTATTTATTGACTAAGGAATGAACCATAAATTTTTTGTTTAAGAACTACATACAAAAATGTTTTTAAAATTGAGAATTTAAAATGCTGTTACAAGACGTAATTGCTTAACTAGCATATGGACAGGTAAATACATCCATGGCGTGCAAGCTTTTTGTTCCTATAACAAGGCCGACATTGTTAATGATGAAAAGCCAAAAAATACCATAGAGAAGGAAAATGGGAAAACGAAATGAAGAAACAGACAAACGGGTTTTCTAATCCTTTCTCGATTCTCAAATGACTTGATCGTTGGTTACCGCACTCCTAAATTAGATATCAACGGTTTTTTTAATAATTGAATTATGACCTCAAAATTGGATGCTTAATACTAAAAATGACATGATCATTCTTTATATTTTTTAAAATGCTAAACTTTAAAAATATCTACAATATAACTATATTAAAAAAATCATGGATAAAGTACAAAATTTTCAAATAAGAATAACCTCAAGTTACTAGGAAATTTATTGCTTCAGCATCTCCACGTACGTAGCTGGCTCTTTGTTAAAGAAAATATAGCAGTATATATTCTTTGATTATTATTACGCCATTTTTACTTATTTCTTTAAATATATACTAGTATAATACCCGTGTATTACACGGGTGTTGAGTTAAAAAATATATAATAAAAATTATTGCTAAAATAAAGTTTTTATTCAAAAATTTTTATGGATTAATTGATGAAAAGAAAAAAAAAATAGACAATGCATGAAGTGATTTGTAAATCGTAATTTGGAAGAAAAATATGAGAAAAAATTATAAAATGATAAGATTGTTACTTGCCTAAGAGAAAAAAACTAACAAAACTAAATATATACCAAATTTGAAAAAAACAAAATTTATTTCTAATACCAAGCCTAATTCTAGAGTAAAAATGAATATACAAACAACATTACAAAGCATAGATTTTCGCTATGTCAGCATCTGAAACGTGTGAGTCTGCCACTTAAACTCAACACGTTTAGAACTAATATAAAAGGAGGGATGTAAAACATTTTATTTTACATACAATTATAAATAATAATTGATGATTAAGTTTGTATGACTGGTCATGGTTAGTTTATGTACAATTTTATTTTTACATCGATAATTACCATAGATATTTTTATTTTTATTTTTTAAAAAAAATAGTTTTACTGGCTGTAAATGAATTCAATGCTCGATGGCCAAGGCCAACTGCTCTAACTATTGTTTAAAAATCCTTTCAATTCTATTGAATTTTCTAGCCGAGTTTTTCAATAATTTTTATGCATGTGGCGTACGTGTGCTATAATTATGGAAATACATATGAAGACCAATTAATAGATTAACATATCAATATATTTAGAATAAGTTACAAAACAATACATTCCAATCAAAATAAAACTTTGAATAATTATACAAGTCTAGACCAACAACTGCGACATCACACAACAACTATACGATATATATATCTTCCAGTAAACTAACCAAAGTTTTGATTAATTACCCCAAACACTTTTGAAATTTACCAAAATAATTAACCTAGCTAGGTCGAATTATAATCACATCGTGTTCGATTTATGAGCTTTGGATTTGGATTTGGCGAGACTTGTGTGCCGTGACAATGGTAAGCACGAAATAGAAAAATAACCCGAAATAGGACAGTATAGAAGCTGCCGTGACCCAGTTACAAAATTTGGCGAAATAGCCACAAATTGCCATCCAACCCGAGTGACTATTTCCGTATTTCCCTATGTAACCCACAGCTGTTGCAGCTGCACATCCCGCCATCAATAATATCGTCATGACCTGTCAATTTTTTTTATAGTACATTTGACATGTTTTGGTGTTTTCAGAAATATAGGATAAATTTATATTATCATAATATATTAAACATACGTTATTAAATAAAGAGAAAAAAAAATAAAAATTACCAGATCATGCAAGAACATGTAGAAGTAGTATGTGGATGAATCAACTGTCTTTCTCCCCAGAATGAAGGCAGTGAACAAAGATAGAACCGTAAATACACAAACTATGAGATTCGAAAACGCAAAGAACCTAAAAAAAAAGTGACAAAATTAGAAAAACAACAACAAAACTAATATTAGCCATTGTAGCATGTTAAGCATGGTTAAAGAAATGAAAATCCAAATACAAAACATATCTTCTCATTAGTTGGAGGAGGTGTAAATTATGATTATTAATTTATTTATTTATTTTTTTTGGAGAGAGGCTTTAATAGTAGGTTTACTTGAAAGCCGGAGAATAGCTATAACGGGCGTCCAATTGGATGCCGAAAACGAGAGCAGTTTGCTTAGTGGAGAGCATAATCGAGGTGGCGGCAAGAGTTGCAGCGAAGGCCAAAAGCCTGAGAGAGATTTGTGTTGCAAATAAGAGTTTGTGAGTTTTGAGAGGTGGGATTATGTGTTGGGTTTTGTCATTTGTGCTGGCCATTATAGCTGAAGAAGATCAGCGAATTAAGGATTTTTATCTTACTATACTAACTACTTTACAAGGAGCCTTATTAAATGCAAAGGGAAGAAAGGCTTTATTACTAATTAAGATGTGAATAATGGTAGGTAGCTTATGGTATTTATATAGGCAGCTGAGAGAGAGGAGAGTTGAAGATGTTCAAGGAAAAGGTGGTTGATCACTTCAAGTCACAGAGGTAGGTTCAGAATTGAATACCTTTCATTAATTGGTGGACTAAAGATTTCAAATAAGACATCCATCATATTTGTTTTTTGCCTTTTTATTTTATATTTTATTTTTTGTTTTTCCTTTGTCTTTGATAAATGGGCCAGTACAACTCAGCTCAAAAACTAACTCAAAGGGAGAGGTTGTTCAATCCACATTTATGAAGAATAACAGCCCAGTAAACTAGTCCATGTGATACTAACATAACTTGTACACCTGCTATAATGAGTAAGGTGTCAAACCAAATGGGTCGGGTTACATCGTTTCTTTTAGAATATTTTGTTGCCATAATTCAAATTTAATCCTAGTTTCTTGATGTTATTTTGGCGATTTCTTGTTAGGCGAAGAAAATAATTTAAATGAAAGTCTCCTATTTATTTATTATTTAGTTCTAGTATATATTTTCTATCTACGTATGCATTATTTATAACATGGTAAATATTATGGAGTATGAGATAAGGATTACATGATATATAATTTATATATAGTCATCAATATCTTTACGTGTGATGCTACTTTATAAAGTGGATATTGATGACTAGAGGAAGAGATATACATGAGATTATGGGATCTGGATGGGCAAAAATTTAATTTTAGTCCGCTAATTTGTTCATTGTCCACTTTTGGTACACTATCTTTCCTCTCATAAAAAATGTCCATTATATTACACTTTTCATCAGTTTTAGTACACTAATCCCGTGGCCCGAGATTACGAGATGTCAAATCAAGTTTTTATCCTACCACGTTAATATCTTATCCCTCCACCTAGTTCCAATCTCGGTCCACGTCATCTTGTAATCCCGCTAACTGGAGTAGCGTACTAAAACTGATGAAAAATGTAACATAATGGACCATTTTTTATGAGGGAAAGATAGTGTACCAAAAGTGGAGAATTGACAAATTAGCGGACCAAAATTGGATTTTTGCCGATCTGGATGTGTTTTGTAAAGATTAAAAGAATATCTATTGAACATATGCCGATGGTTCAGTCAAATTTGAAGAATGTCTCACATAAGAAAAAAAAAATAGTTTTTGCATCAATTTTGGAAAGTCCGTGTATTTGAAGACTTTCGTACCATTAAAGAGCCATACTGAAGGATACACATTCTTTGAGAAGATTTTAAAGATCCGAAGCATCGAAGAAATCTTTGCAACTTAATAATCTTTTATTATCTGGTCACGTACAGCAACCTAGCAACAAGCAAACTTTAGATTATATACTCTTAGAGAAAAACAGATTGATAATACAAATGTCATTAAATTATATTGTTTACTTTTTGTATGTTTCATTTTATATTCATAGATTGTGAATCCAAGCTTATAAATGTGTGTTTCTACCTTGTTGTAAGTGTGGAGCCTAGTTTTAGTTTTTGTTTCTGTTATTTTTTTTTGGTAATTGTTGAACACTTGGGAAAAGTGTTGTGTATCCTATAAGGGATCCAAGAGAGGCTCTAAGTCTACGAGTTTGGCTGGAAAGTAGTTAGTAGAATGGGGTATAGTATTTGTAGGTTTAGAAGAGAGTTCTTCACGTGTAAATTCAAACTACATGCTATGGGACGCAGCTATTCACCAATGAATGAGTTCAGAGAGCTAGTATCTCTTTGTGAAAAATATTATTTTTGCTTCCGCTGTATTTTGTGTTCTTGCACAAAACTATTTCTGCGCAAAATTTTTCTCCCTCGCACACTTTAATTCGTATTTGAGCAGGTTCCTACTCAAATTACAGAGGAAACATTGGTGGATTGTTACTTTGGACACCATATATCTTAATTCTTAATCAATTTCACGCCCTCAGCTTCTCGATGGATCAAATTATTCATACTGAAAGTCCATGATGATGATTTTTTTGCACTAATTAGGCAAGAGAACGTGGAGATCATTGAAGCTAGATGGACTTGCTCCATGGCTGAAAAATCACTTCTGAAAAAGAATTATGAAGCAACATCTACTCTTGAAATGGTTGAAAAAGAAGCTTTTGGACGAATAACGACGTAGCTAAAGAACTAGCCAATTTCGTAGTTCTCTTTGATATCATAACGACACTGGATTCAATGCGTCACCATACAATGCACGACATCACTTGACATATGAAATTTTTGAGTGTTAGTTTGAAGGTACCAATTTTGTAAAATCCTCCAAACTCCAAAGAATTACCTAAAAGTTTGTTAAAATTCACATGGAAGAAGACGAGAACGTGAACATGTATTATGCGCATTTTTGTCATCACATCAATCAAAGCGCTATGCTTGACGAAGAGGCAAGTGCAAAAGATCATGAGGACTCTCCCCAAAAGAGTTTGTGAGAAAATCACTACTCATAAAAGATTTAGCGGGTAAAACACCTTGGTATTGATGATTTACTAAGGGACCTTCCAACTTTTGAAATTAATTATGGCTACGATCAACTGAAAATTTGTGAAATGGTTTTGAAGGATAGTGTTTCTACACAATCTGATGGTAAAGAAGGTCAGATGTTAGATTTTGAATTTAACGAGACCTTGGATACCTTGTCTAAAATGTACATTGAGTTGTTGAAGAAAGTACAGACATTTCGAGGAAGAAATTTAGAGGGACTCAATTAGTATTCTTACACAAATTCTCTGAACACGCCGTAGTTAAACACCCTGTCGTCAAAGTCTCATAATCATAGTGATAAGAAGGATCAGTATAGGGGAATGCCGAGGATATGGATATTTTCAGCAAGAGTGTCCTAATTTCGAGAAAAATAACAAAAACTTAAAGTCCATATGGAGTGACGAAGAAAAAGGATGATCAACAACATACTAACAATGTGATTGTGTCTCATCGAAAGAACTTATAGTGTCTTGAATCATATCAACACTCTTATGAAGCTGAGTTAGCTATGTGTTCTTATATGGATACCTCTTAATATGATTCTGATGCTGCTATTGATTTTTCAGGTCATGTGTACTTAGAGTATTAGAGACTAACCATCAAAAAGTGCCTCCTAGCTGAAAAGAATTACAAAAACCTTCAAGATCAAGTGAAGAAGTTTGAAATGTTTAAACTTCGATCGGATGAACAAAATAAAGGGAACACTTATCTGAAAGATGAACTTCAGAAGATTCATATGTATTATCAATGTTGAACATAATAGAAAACTAAGTAGATCTGACATTCGTTAACCGCTAAAGGTATCTCATGATATTCTTGAGAGGCATCGATCATGCTGAGTAGCTCACACCTCGCCGTAAAGTCCATGAGATGGTCTATTAAGGGTAATAGATAATGATATTTTGGGCAGGCTTTGTTGGGATCACTAAAATCAGTGCACACCCACCACTTTCCTTTGCTCTTCTTGACCTTCACCAAATTGGACAACCACTCTGGGAAGTGAAAAGGTCGTATAAACTTGCCTTCAGAAGTTTTTCGACTTCTGCTTCAATAACCAGGTCCAGTTCTGCACCGAAATGTTTTTTCTTCTGTTTCATTAACTTCACATTCGGATCAGTTCAACTACTTCTAGACTTATGTCTGTCATGTCATCAGCTGAGAATGCAAAAATATCTACAAACCCTGTGGGAGATGGTGACCTCCCACAGTCACTTTTCTGACATCTCCTTCTATAAGATCAATTTCCATGAGCTCGTCATGTGATCAGATCTTAAGCTTTTCGTGTCTCTTATCTCTATCAAAATTCTCATGTTGATCTGCCTCCTAACCCCTCTCTCTTCCTTGGGCTTAACTTTTCTGCATCGCTTGTAGCACGACCTAACATGCTGGCGGTCTCTTGTCACCTACCCGACTTGATCCCCCATTGAGAATTTGATTTTCATGCAGTAAGTCGATATTATGCAATTTGAATGCGTTTCAACTGGGCGTCCCAGAATGATATTGTAAGTTGAGCTGATATCTACTACTAGGAACTTGACCATCTTGACCTTCCTTACGGGCGACTGTTTATTTTGTTTTTGTACTTATTTTCGTGTGTTTTATGTGCTTTAGTTGAGTCTTTTTAGGTTCGTTTTAGTGTCGACCGGTCTATTTTATCGTATTTTGTGTATTTTTGCGTTCGTTATGTGTTCTTGTGTTTTGCCGTGTTCTTCTTGTCATTTTGGTGTTAATAGATGCATTTTGCCGAGCTTGGGAAAACGAGCCATCCGAGCTGACCGAGCCAACCGAGCCGTTCGAGTAATTCAAGCTGGCAAAGCCACCTGAGTCGTCCCAGGCCATGACCGGGTCTGGACCCACGCACCTGCTCGCGCCCCGGTAGCTCTCCAGCGAGCACCCAGTTGCGACCTACGAGAGCGCGCGCCAGCTGGCCAGCGAGTGCCCAGTCGCTACCAGCGACCGCGTGCGCCCTAGCAGCTCCAGGCGCCCCACTCGTATCGAACTAGGGCACACACGCCGCAAAACCCATTTCAAGACCTGCGAACTTCAAAATTCATTAAATATGTGTGTTTTTAATGTGTGTTTGTGGTGTAGCGATAAATAGACATTGTTCTTTGTATTTTTGGATATCACCCCTCATTTCCCAACTTTTAAGTTGAGAAATCCTCTCTATTTTCTCTCTTTTATTTTTATGCTTTGGTTTTGAGGTTTATAACTCAATTTTTCCAGCGAAATTCCAGCAACCTTATTTTTAATCAAGACTCGAGTTTTACGCACTATTTTCATCCGGGCATCCGATTGGAGAGTAAATACCTTGCTTAGGGCTTACTACTTCGAGTTTGTTTTTCAAATTTTGTGTCTATGCTCGTTTTTAGGACTTTCTTTATTTTTCTTTGCTTTCTTACGTGTTTAAGAATTCAATACGTGCTTATCTTGTATAAAGGTCTCGACTTTACTCAAAGTGTGAATGATTTAGTGTAGAAAGCGCGTCTTAGATTACCTAGAACCACTTTGTTTGCACGTTTTCTCTTGTTTATTTTTGTTTTCTTGAGTTATGGATACTCCGTGCAACCAAAGTGCGAATCTTTTCTTCCAAATCTCCTACCTTTCATCAATTGCTTTCAATTGTTAGGGAAAATTAGCTTACTCTCCCTCAAACCAAGCGAGTAAAATGTTTAGGACCTTGTTTTCGGTTGTGTGAATTGACGACTAGATAGTAAACGAAGCTCTGAAAAACCTTCCTCGAGAGACACGACCCGAAGTCGATCTTCTGATCGTACTTGGCAAAAAACTACAAACAACGACCTCCTCAATGCCACCAGCAGTAGCACCTAGCCTATCGGTGTGACCTCGTTTCTGTTAAACCATAGAGGGTCGTATGAACTAGCTTGATCTCTACCTCTAGGTCCATCTACCTCAAGCATTACTGAAAAATAATATCGATCAAGCTGCTTGTATCGATGAACAACCTCTGCACATCACAACCAACAACCTCAACAAGGATAACTACAGTCATTATGGGGCAATGATAGCTCCAACTCGAACTTCAGAGTAACTTTAGGCTTCTAAACTTGGACCTCCGCGACCTCCTTGGCCACTTCTTTACCCTTGTACTTCCTCTTCCTTTGTTATGGGAGTCCCCATCCGTGGGACCTTTTGCTATCATTTAAATCATGCCTCTCTTAGGTGATATGTCCTCAGTCTCATCTGTCCTCTTGTATTTTTCTACAAACTCACGATTGTCTCTCTTCTCTTTATATCTCAAGAGAAATTCCTTGAGGTGTCCATCTTGGATGAGCCTCTCAATTCTGTCCTTCATCTCTATGCAGCTGTTCTGCATAAAATCAACCTCGACTTCTTCCAAATTGACGTAATTGATGCACCTAAAAAAAATCGTCAAAAGACCTAGCCGGTTTATTTGTTAATGAATTCATGCATGGTCCTAGCCGAAAATCCTGGGTAAGACCTACTGCCTTGACCTTTTCTGAAGTTGATGGGACCTCCACACACTCCTTGGTGTAGCGAGCAACAAAATCATGAAGAGTCTCTCCTTTTCTTTTTTTGCATGCTAATTAAAGCCAGATAGTCTTCTTGTGATTTCTCACGCTCGAGAACTGGTTAACGAACTGGGAGCTGAAACTATTGAAACTCTAGATCGAGCCTGCAGGCAATTGGTGGAACCAGTCCCGTTTGATCTGAACCATCATACGGCAGATTCAGCTCGCGAAAATTATTAGACGGGTTTGTCTACAAGACTTTTTCAACAAATAGATGGTCGTGAACTCGAGGTTCTACCTTGTCCCCGACGCGGTAACCTCTCAAGTGTAGTATCTTGGGTTGGCAGTCACGATATGTTCGTAGATGGCGACGTTGATCTCACTTCTATTTTCTCTGGCTTCCTCTCAGGTTGTGGATGTTGCACAGCCAGATGCGGCTGGATTGGCGCCCGAGCTTGAGCAACGGCCTCCGCAACAATCATGTCCTACTCTGCCCTAGTGAGTTGGATAATCTAGTCTCCCCTAGGGATCTCCTACGCCCTAGGATTCAACAGTTGTCCTTCGACCTGATCCTGAGGTCGATCAACCTTAGGATTGCCTTATTGTTGTATTTCAGAATCTTTGACTACTGCTTGCCCCTTTGTACCAGAGACTCCTGTTTTTTGTTGGACGGCTACCGGCTCTTGCCTCGCTAGGGGTTTATTCGATGTATTTTCCACCGGGGTCAGCGTTGTGCAAGGCTTTGGAAACGTCTCTCACAGCGTGATGAGTATGTCTGGTGACTTCGACCAGCCTGGTGGAGGTTCTATTCCTAATTTTCTCGAAACCCAAGCCTCATCCAGCTCCTTTGTTAGATCCTTCCTTGAGTTATGTGCTTCCATGATCTACCAAACTTAAACGAACTTCTTGTGAGAAACCGATTAGCCCGTTGTAGCCATTAAAATACTAAACTCTTTCCACAAGCGGCGCCAATTTGATATGCCAAATTGCCACGAACTGGACTGAACCGACGAATCCACGATTGTCCTTCTGCCTCTAGCTCCGTTGACCTGCAATACGTCAGAAGAGGGTCCCAGCGTAGACACTCTAACATTCAAGTCAGTGCTTTCTCGTGAGAATAAACGGGTAATATATGCGCTAAGTATGTGAATATGCGATAGATCATAACATATAACCAGTTACCCTTATATAGCGTGGGAGTGACCAAGAGAGTCCTTGCTTGAAATGAGCAACCAGATCTACGTACATTCTTAATTTACCACATAGAGAAGTCTCATCAATATACACTTTCCATCCTGTTAGGATTAATTATTTCCTCCTTCACCTCACAACTCTTAGGTCATTGGATCGTAACCCCGACCTTCCGACCTTTAGGACCTTAACGAAGTCGACACCTCAACCACTCACCCCTAGACCTTCGTAATGTGAGGTCATGACCATTTCGTGTGCCTGAGCTCCCGGATATCGTGACCTCCAGATCTTCTTATCAGATCGGCCAGTACCCTGAGTTGTACTCATGAGCTCCCTAACTGGGTCGACTTCTATCATCGAACTAAAACTCCCTGGGACCGATCTGACTCGAGCTAGCTGCTCAAGTCTGTCCGCCGAGCTATTATGGATGCTATATCAAAATCAATACCCTCTCTAGTTTTGTCAAATCATATGCAAAACAATAATACACATAACATTTCCGATTAACTACATGTACAGTCCCATGCAATGTATCTCTGCGCCGCCACAAATTTAATTTACACAGGCGTATCCATTCATCTCAATATCTCATTGAGAAGTTCTTAAATTAATTTTTTTTTTTTTTCTTCAAGACGAAAATGATAGTCCTTTATTTTGGCTCATTTTACCAAACCATGTGAACAACATACATAATTACATCTAAATTGAACCGGCAGGTAGACAAAGCCTATAATGAGTTAGGTCGAGGTACGTAGCAGCACGCATTGGGCCCGCAATGTTAACACATAATTGGGCCAAGTCTGGATCGGCCCAAAAGTTCGCTTAAGCTGTAAAAGGCTGCAGCCATTGATCCGCATCAATGAATGAAATATTAAGAAATGATGAAGCTTGTGTCTCATTAAGCCTTTGTGCATAGGGAACTCTCATTGTTGTATTTGCCCCATCACCCGTGCAATTGTACTCTCCATAAAATACAGTCCTGGAAAAACAAATACATAACTTAATTTCAACTATTTCTGAATATTTATATATTGTTAAAGAAAAAGAAAATAAATAAAATAAAGAAAAGCCCTCACAGGTCTCTGGCTGGGTCGTTGAAATCGTTCCAGCCCTCGGATGCTATAATATCGGACATATTCGTGTAAGAAAACACGACGGTGGAGAAAGGCCTCCAAGCTCGGCCGAGCCAGATTCTTCCGGTCCCACCAATGCTGCAGTTTACAAACGAAAAGCCGCTGTTTTCATCCTTTGAGGCTCTGCCTTGTGCAGTCACGGCTCCGTCTATGACTCGAGCGCCAGGTGGCACCGGGCTAGCTATCGAAGTTAAGTGGCAATTCTGTAAATCACCAAGTCGAGCGCTGACTAAGTGTGCAATTCTTTTCATCAACTCATATAATTTTAACTAACCATTATCTCCAATCATTTTTATCCTACTTTTATATCAAATCAATTTTAATTATTTTAAATACTATTTTAATTTAAACTTAAATATCCACTAACAACTAGCCATACTACATTTTCAAAATTAACTATGATTAAAAAAAAAAAACAATTAAAAACTAGTTCAATCTATATCCAATCACACCCTAACTTTTTGCTAATTGTTTTGTTGTGTATCAAGAGTGTTGAGAATTAATCCTCCTTCGAATTGTTCATGTTATGCAAGTTTCATGTTGTAAGCTTTTCTTTAAAGCAACAACTGGTCATGTATATGTGTAAGTTGTTTTATGATCAAATTAAGGCGAACTAAGATCTCAAACGAATTGATTACCTCATAAAATGACTTGGCATTACCAAAAATAAAGTCTATGGAGCCCTGAATATAACAATCCTTGAAATAATGGCGACCCCTATCGTCATGAAGAGTGTCCTGTGCTCCAAAGAAACCACAGCCCCAAAAGGCAGCTTGATCTCCCCCGATTCTGAGGGCCACGGCTTGTGCTCCTACGGCTCCAGGGACAGGCATTGGAGCCACATTCTGATACGAAAAATATTTTAATTAACGAATGTTGTTAGATTGAGTGCATATGCGCGCGGTCTACTGTTGTTATTATGTGTCTACTAGTTATATGTTTCTATAATTAATGTGATGTACCATAAAACTTATGTTCTTGGCAATAAAGTTGGTCGAGAACACTTGAACCGAACCGCTCATGAAGGTGCCGTGTGCTGAGTTGGCAGTGTCGTTCCACATGATTGCCGTTGAAGTGAAGCCTTGCCCTTGAAATGTTATGTTCGGCTTTGTTCTCGGAATTATAACCTTCTCACTGAATTTTCATAATTTATCGCATAACTAACATGTAAATAATGATATATATAGATAAAATCGATATTGTATGAATTAAAACGATATGTGCATATAGAGAGCTTACAAATAAATTCCGGTGTTGATCCAAATAACGGTCCTTTTTGGGCTCATGACACCAACTGCATCAACTGCAGCTTGAACCTTAGTGAAATTGCAACATCCATTAGAATCAACGCATAAAAACGATGTTGTGTTTGTGTCGGGTGGAGGGATATCGGGTGGAAAATCTTCGCATATGTCTTTTATTGTATTCTTTTTACTCGCACGATGACCGCGCGGAATAATAAGAGATATTGGGAGTGTTGGAGGTGTGAATTGGGAAAGGAGGTTGAGGAGTAATTGTGTTATAGGTTGAATTGTGATATTTGTGGATAGTAAGGTTGCAAGAAGGGCTACAAAGATGGATAGAGAAATGAGTTTAGTTGAACTCATGGTTTGTTTGAATTTTTTCCTTAATTGTTTCTATTTGGAGGGAGAACAATTGGAAGATTTTGATGCTATAAAATGGAGTTTGTGTGGACCATAGCTAGCACTTTAAGTGTAAGAAAGAATAGCATGACTTGGAAGTCACCTTGTCCCAATGGCTCATTCTTGGGTGAATATGCACACAACCTACGTAGCTTAAAAATTTTGGATACTTACAATATTTTTAATTATCATTCTTTATATGTTTGACATGACAATCTCTACTTTCAGTTATATTGGTTGTCCGTTACCATATGCGACCAATTTCATCGGGCCGACTTGACTCATAATGTTTTGATTAAATGAATCTAAATGGGCCAAGCTGCATATCATAAGCTGAACCACATGGGTATATATTCTAATAGAAATTTTCTCTGTATATATAATTTTTGGACATAATGGTATAAATGCCCTCACATTAGGTATGAACCACATAAATTAGAAAAATCGATGAGTCCCACCATAGATGAGTCTACCGAGGTTATCAGGTACAAAAATTATATGCATATGCCTTTGTCATGATTATTAGTATTTTTTCCAAACAAATACATCTAAATATTAATTATTAAATGAGTGTACATAGGATGCACAATGGTTAATTGTCTGAATATTTTATTAACCTATCAAGTATCTTTTGTTTTAAAATTAATGGTCATCATAGTTGATTTTTAGAACTTGCAATGAACTGCATCGTTGATTTTATTGTTCATTATACTTCTGTTCATTTTGTTTTCTATTTATTTGTGCGTTTTCTTCTCTATTTTTGTACTTTTGGTAATACTATAACAGTTAACTAAAAATTATACAACAGTATTTTATTCTTTATTTCCGTTCATTTTAAAAAAAGGAAAAAAACGAAAAATTTTACAATTAAAAAATAAAAAATAAAATTTTTATTTGAGCATAATTTTTATTGTAAATTTTCGTATACTTCTAAAAACCATGTAATTTTATTTTTATTCAAATAGTCATACAACTTCTCATATCATTTAAAGATAGATAGAACATTTATTACAAAGGTAGATAGAATTTTTTTTATAAGCAATATGGAACATATATCATATGTGAAAAAATAATAAAAAATAATAAATTATTAAATTTTAGAATATATTTATAATTTAAGTTAACAAAGTGTTTTATAATTTTAAAAGATTCGTAAATAAAAGTACAAATCTATATAAACTAATTCGGAATATAGACATATAAAATTCAGAAACAATACCATTAGGATTATGAATAATACTTGGGCTCTACCTATAAGAAAATGAAACCAGAGTTTGAGCCTGTTAGATTTATATGTTTGGGAGAAAGGATGCAGTCCCATGGAGGTGAGGTGAAACTTTAGAAGGCAAGCCTAGTTACCACCTAATGAGTTTTATTCCAAAAATAATTGATGATAGGAGAAATAGTCCACTAAGCTTAAAAATTAGGTTAATTTTTCCTATTTGATCAATGTTGGACAATTCAGAAGACTAGTGATACTCATTTGTGGTCCAGGTCGATTAACATAGAGTCGTCGCATATCCTAGATTAGACCTACTCTGATACCATATTAGATTTATACTTTTGGGGAGGATACGGTCCTATAAAGATAACACATTTTAATAGGATGCGGTATCATATCACCTAATGAGCTCCTATTCCAAATCGGACAAGCGGTCAACTGGGCTTCTATACTAGACTATTTTTCACAATAAAACAATGGCTCATTTACATACATATTGTATCTTTCCCTAAAAAAATTCAAATATACTAAATGAAAACGTATATTGGACATCTACCTAATTGAAGCTATATATTTAGAGACTTACTAGATAATAAAAAGAAGCATTACATGGTAAGTAACTGAGATGATTATTCTTTCTTAATTACCTTAAGTGAAAATAAATAAGTTTTAGAATTAAAAAATAAATCGGCATTACATGAAAAGTACAATCACAAGGATAGAATCCTAAAAGCATTTTGGAATGTGAAATCGAAAACACTGAAATTTGAAATTTGAATTCCACATTATTTTTCTAATTCGAGTTTGCTGAATATAAACGCAACAAATTTGAAAATTGTGTATAGATATGTGTTATTTAACATGTTATAAACCAAGTATATACAAGCATTCCCCAACGTAAGACCTATTTTAAATTTTCTATTTTCATAAGTCCACGTCTAAAATTTTAACAACCTTCAAATAAAACCTCTTTTATTTCCCACTTCTTCTACTAATAAAAAAAAAATAATATATATATACTTATAGGTTATATAAATAATTATAAGATATAAGCATAAAACGAATTTTTGATTGTGAAAAAAAGTTGTAATATAATATTTTATATTTTTTCTACATCCTGAAGAGCGCTTATAAAGTGTGTTACATATCAATGATGTATAGATCATTGGTATAAAATTAAGTAAAAAATTTAAGCAAATTCAAAACATCACAATTGTATTAGATAAATGTCGTGTAAATAAAAACGCAACATATACTGGAAATATACTGACTATAAAAGTAACATATACTAAAATTATTCTAGTGTCCGTCTTGCACAAGATATTGACGCTTGTCGTTAAGTCTTGACTTCTTTTCTTATAATTGCGACCTGGTCGATTTTGTCATTCATTTTTCTTCTTCTTTTTTTTTTTTTCAGTCGGGACATCGCTTCCAATGACATCTTCGTCAATTTCTATCTCGTCCATGTCAATTTTTCTTTATTAGCAAGAAAAAAATTGTTATCTAGTATGTATAACATTTTTTATTACATCNTCACCGTCAGGTCATCACTTTTAATGACATCCTCGTCGAGTTTCATCTCCTTAGTGTCAATTTCTTCGTCTTCAACAAAACCAGAATCTTGGTCGAGACTTCTTTATCAAACGTGGTGGAATTTTTTTTTCCGTCGCATTTGCTTCTTTGCTTGTGGGATTTCACCGACGCAGCCAGAAGGGGTAGCACCGGGCGTTTCTTCGTCACCTTTATTGCGGGAATTTTTGAAGTCATTGAACTTTGATTTGTTATGGAATTAAAGCTTCTTTAGAACAAGCTTCCTGTTGACATTCGGTTTTATCTGGCGGAGACGAGAACTCAATCTCAGTTATGTTTGTTTTTTTTTTCTCGTCGAATAGAAAATTGGTAAAAGTAAAAACTTCAAATTGGGAATAATGGCGTTGATGGTAAATGACTGAAAAAGATTGGAGAAAGATGGAGGTGGCACAAAAGTGATAGAGAGGCAAGGTAAAAAAAAAATCGTTCGAAAGTTATAAAAGGGTAATCGTTCCTCCCATCACCAATTGGCTTTGGAATGGAATCTCACTAAGATGCACCTAAGCTTACCCTGTTATAGTGTGCTTCACCTGGTGGAACCGCACTTTCTTCCTCCAATTCTATAAATCTAATAATATACAATTAGTCCATATGGTAATTTTTTCGATACATTACCTCAGGCCCATGCCACCTCAGCCACGTAGCAATCATCTCCTACATTTGGATTTCGTGCCAAAGTTTTTCGGGATTATGTTTTTCGTAATTTAAGAATAAAAAAAAGTAGGATAATTTGTACTCCCTGGACTTGTACGCCAAAAGAAGAGTTTTTCATATGAAGTGGCATGCCATGATGGTTTTCCAAGAATTACAGGTCCAGTATTTATCAAATCCTTTCTCTTCGTTCACACACCAATACGAAGAACACAAACACTAGTAATCACCACAACGGCAATGCAAAACCTGCGTAATATACCAAAAAATTTGTCTTCTTTTGGCATACCACTTCATATGTAATCACTTCAAGCAGGAGAACACATACAGACTACAAAAAATAGAAACCAAAGCCAATCAAGTCCTTGTCCATCACCGATGCCGTTGCCGCCACCAACCCTAGAATCAGTTCGCAAGTTTGTTTTATTTGATCTACCCTTTTATGTTTTTTCTTTTCTTTTTCTTCCTTAGGTATTTGAATGTTTATATGTGACTAAAAGTTGCAGGTTTATTTTGTTTGAAAAAATAAATAAACAGAACTGGAAGGCTTCACATTATTCATTTTTCATGAATTTTAGTTTAGTTTGCAATTATTCTAGTGTAACTTCCAATTGACTCAGTTTTGTGAAGCCATGCAACCTGAACTTTGCTCGATTGGCAACCTCATAAATAAGACAATCTCATAAATAAGAACCAACAAGCCTGCAGAAAAACAACATGCTCAATAACAATTCAATCTTTAATGATTCATTATTCTGCTTAATAGACCTCATTTGTGGTTTAATTGTTTTGACAGGCAACTGTTTCATAGAAGGAAGAAAAGGCACTTGCAAATAACATCTGCCAAATGAGCAACACTTGAACCAATGCTCTTGCTTTTTCCTTGATTCGAAATTTGTTTGAATCCGCCATTATTACATAATGACTCCAAATATGCAAACTACATTTTCAAAGAGCGCCAAGAGAAAAGCATATGCCAAACTTATTTTGCACGTTATATGTTTTTGTCAAACTAGCATAATATTACTCATTGGCCGAGAAAGTTAAGCAGACAAGTCTTCAAAGAATATGTGTTTTAAGACAGAGAATCTATACAGGAACAACATAAGCCTTTTTGTTCCTGATACCTTCAAGCAGTTGCAGCCAGGGCACTTGATGATGATCTGTAACAGGTTCTTTTCGCAGCACGAACAATGTCTTCAACCTAAACCCAAATGAGTGGATAAATAAAAGCAGTGGGGTTTATGAATGGAGAAGCAAAAGGAATAACAAAGGAAAAAAATAGATATACTGATCTTCGTTGATAACATAGAGCATCTCATATTCACAAGAATGCGCTCATCTGAAATGTAAAAGCAGCTTTTGCCAATTCCAAATAGACCTTATCAACTATCTTGTGAGTTTGAGCCCTCAAAATTCTTGAATGTGGAAATGGAATGTAACATAACTTAGAAGATGTGATTGAACTTATACCGTGTTTTGAAAAGCATGTAAACTCTCTAAGTTTGTTTCGTAACAAGGCGTTTGAGCTTATATAAATGATCGTATAAGCTCATATAAATCTAATAACACTTTCTAGTTTACATAATTAATTGAAATGATTAGGGTCAATAACATGGCACCATACCAGCACTTTGGAGTTTTGCAGTTTCCATGCCGCCTAGTGGCGATGGTGGAAATTGCAGTTTCCACGCCCTAGAAAAAATGAAAAAGTAATTGGGCTGGCCCAATTTTGCAACTGCAGGCATGGCTTGGGAGTGGGTATTCCTAATTTAATTAACATAATAAAGACCATATTGGAAGCAGCAGAAAATGCTGCAGAACAAGTTGGCTGCCTTTATTTTTTCAATTTTTTATTTATCTGTTTTAATCTCTTTATTGTATTATCATATAAAAAAAATAGGCTCATTTTTTCTTTAATGTCCTTTTTTTAACTCTTTATTTAGTTGCTTAACTAGTACAACACCCGTTCATTACACGGAAGTTTGTTAAAAAAATTATTTTTAATTTTTAAAATTAATGGAAAAAAATATTTTAAAATTTAAATATTTTTTTACAAAATATATATATTACGATATATTTTAGAATGACACTTATTTTCTTGTGCGACTTACATGTGTTATATTATAATAATTTTTCTAACTTATATTATATAACTACTTGAAACATAAATATATTAATTGACAAATAATGTTATTTTTCTAATTAACATTAACAAATAATTTTATTATTGTTATAAAGATAAATATAATTTATTTATTTTACACATACAATAACAACAACATAGCCTTTTAGTCTCAACCAAGTTGGGGTAGGCTAGAGATGAAACCCAAGAGAACCAATAGTAAGAGAAACACAAAAAGGGCTCAAAACAAAATGAAGAGATTGGAGCAAAAAAGAAAGGAGCAAAAGTCGCGGTTATTGCACGTTGATTGTTAGCCTCCAAGCGCTCCTATCCACCGCTAAATCCTGGGAGTTATTCCAATCTTTAAGGTCTCTCTTAACCGACTCTTCTCAAGTGAGTTTAGGCCGACCTCTACCTCTCTTTACATCATCGACCCGCTGTAGAACTCTCCTACGCAACGGTGCCTCAGGAGGCCTCCGTTGGACATGTCCGAACCACCTCAGCCGATGTTGAACCAATTTCTCCTCAATTGGAGCCACCCCGACCCTATCTCGAATATCCTCATTCCGGATTCTATCCCTTCTCGTTGGACATGTTGCCTTTTTGTAGGCCAACATTCAACACCATATAGCATCGCCGGGCGAATCGCCGTCCTATAGAACTTATCTTTTAGCCTTTGTGGCACCCTCTTATCACAGAGAACGCCCGAAGCTTGACGTCATTTCAACCAACCGGCTGAAATTCTATGCCTAACATCAACATCAATGCTGCCATCCTTTTGTAGCATCGATCCTAAATACCGGAAAGTCTCCTTCTTGGCCACCACTTGCCCGTCAAGGCTAACGTCACCATCATCATGTGTAGCCATGCTGAAAGCGCACGTCATGTACTCGGTCTTTGTCCTATTAAGTCTGAAGTCTTTCGACTCTAACGTGTCCTTCCACAACTCTAACTTCCTATTTACCCCTGTCATACTCTCGTCAACTAGCACCACATCATCAGCAAAGAGCATACACTAAGAGATATCACCTTGTATGTCCCTTGTGGCCTCATCCATCACCAAGGCAAATAAATAAGAGCTCAATGTTGACCCCTGGTGTAGTCCTATTTTAATTGAGAAGTCGTTGGTATGCCCCCACATGTTCGGACACACGTCATCGCATCCTTGTCCATATCCTTGATGAGGGTAATGTACTTAGATAGGACTTTGTGCTTTTCTAAGGCCCACAACATGACATTCCTCGGTACTCTGTCATAAGCCTTCTCAAGGTTGATAAAGACCATGTGCAAGTCCTTCTTTTGGTCCCTATATTTCTCCGTCAACTGTCGTATTAGGAAAATCGCCTCCATGGTCGACCTTCCAGGCATAAACCCAAATTGGTTTTGGATCACACTCGTCACTCGTCGTAGGCGATGCTCGATAACCCTCTCCCATAGCTTTATCGTATGGCTCATCAACTTAATCCCAGGGTAGTTACCACCACAGCTTTGAACATCTCCCTTGTTCTTGAAGATGGGTACTAAAGTACTTCTCCTCCATTCATCAAGCATCTTGTTTGACCGGAAAATGAGGTTAAAAAAGCTTAGTTAGCCATACTAACGCTCTGGCGCCCAAGCATCTCCACACCTCAATGGGCATACCATCAGGGCCCATTGTTTTACCTCCCTTCATCCTCTTCATAGCCTCTCCGATCTCTGCCTCCCGAATTCTCCTCACCAAGCATCTATTGGTATCCTCAAATGAGTCATCCAACTCCAGGGTAGGACCCTCACTCTCCCCAATAAACAATTTGTGGAAGTACTCTCGCCATCTGTCCTTGATCTCCTCATCCTTCACCAGCGGCCGATCCGACCAATTCTTGATGCATTTGATTTGGTTGATGTCCCTTGTCTTCCTCTCCCCAATCCTAGCCATCCTATAAATGTCCTTCTCCCCCCTCCTTCGTGCCTAGCCGCTGGTAAAGGTCATCATAGGCCTGACCCTTCGCTACACTCACGGCACGCTTTACAGCCCTTCTCGCTATTTAATAGCTCTCAATGTTGGTTGCACTCTTGTCAAGGTGGAGACGCTTGAAACAATCCTTCTTCTCCTGAATAGCCCTTTGCACCTCGTCATTCCACCACCAAGTGTCCTTCTCTTCCTGCTTGCCTCCCCTACTCACACCAAGTACTTCTGCAGCCACCTTCCGTACACATGTTGCCATCTTTAGCCACATGTCATCTGCATCTTCTCCTTCTTCCCAAGGCCCCTCGCCTAGTATCCTATCCCTAAACGTCTGTGCCGCTTCCCCTTTAAGCTTCCACCACTTCGTTCTCACGGTCTTGGCACGTTTGTCCCGATGGACACATATTCGGAATCGAAAATCCGCCACTCCCCAGCTTATGCTGGGGGACAACACATTCCCCAGCTTATTTTACACATACAATATAGATGTCAAATCGAAACCAATCAAGAGATGATTAATTTGATATATTATATATGTAAAACTGATAAAAAATACAAAAGTTATTAACTTTTAAATACATTTACAATTCAATGATTATATCAAGGAATGATATTAGAATGCAACTAATATATGTAAAATGTATATAAATAATCAACGTGTTTGTGGATAATCCAGACCTAATTATTTTTGGATTAGAAGTAAATTAGAATCTATCCAAGACAAATCATGAAGCATGGAATTTTGCTAGATAGGATCCTGAAGCATGCAAGCTTTTCACTTAGGCTCAACACATTCGGGAATTATATATAAGGGTGATTACAACTTTTTTGTTTGAAAAAACTAAAAAAGCTCTTTTTGGCTGTACTTTAATTTTTCTCTCTTATTTCTTTGCTTTGATTTTCAACTCCTTATGTAACAAATGTTATTTAATGTACTTATTGAAGAGTTTCAAGCTTTTATTATGGTGTTATACATGTGTGTGCGTGTGTGTGTATTAGGGTGTATATAGTCTGTCATGCTTTCCGCCATTTTTCGACATGCCATATGCCATATATATATATATATATATGGTGGTTTACGGCTCGTGGCAATGAGCCACTGTCCACCATCGATAACAACGGATGAACCAGATTTAAACCCAAAAAACAAAAGAAGACGGTGGGGGAAGACCAGTGACAAGTATCTCCGAACTGAATGGCAGCCAGGGAAAGTTGCAGGTCTTAACCGGTGGCCAGATAGGTGATGAACAATGAGAGTGATTGGAGGAGAGACAAGTGATTGAAGAAAGTATAGTTTTGAAATTAAAATGATGTTAAATAATTTTTACTTCAAAAAAGAATGGGAACACCACCACCCAACCAACCAAAGATGTT